TAGCATTAACTAGATGTCTTTGCAAGTTTTCCTCCAAATCTGTCAAGTAATATCCTCCCTTATCCAATGCTTGGTGAATAACAAAAGGTCATTCCTAAGTAGGACTCCATTTCTCAAAGCCTCTAACTTGAGCTCCTAAAAGCAGAATTGTTTTCCATACTAACTCTCTTTCCTTGAAGGTCTTTAATTTTACCTTCTTGTTGTATGCTCGAGCAACAACTCTCCCTTTTCGGCTTTCCCTCTCTTCCATACACCAACAATCTTTTGATTAAGGGCCTGATAGCAACTACTTGGTCCTTTCTTCTTTGTTCTAACATTACTGGCATTGGGGAGTTGGGATAATATGGGGCATATCCCATTCTTCCCTGGTGAGGAACAATCCTTGCTCCATAAGCTTTTGGGCAGTCACCTGAGTCGAACAGCCGTTCCCATCAGCTCCTAAGCACTGGAGAATCCCAATACTAGGATTATAAAAGCTGGCTTCTGCCACATTGGCAGTAGGGAGGAATGGTCGTGACTCGGCCTCCACCATCTCCCAAAATCCTGGTCCCATGCCTTATTCCTCGTGGTAAACTGCTACTTGTTGGTGTAGGGTGGAAGGCACAGAGAAACTATGATGAATCCAATCTCGGCCTAGTAAAGCTCCATAGATGGAAGTACTATCCACAACGAAGAAGGCTAGTATGATTTGCTTGGAGCCCAAGTCAAACTGCAAGGGCAATATCCCATGAGTTCTAGTGATGGCTCCAAAGAAACTGGAAACTGTTATATCCGTGGGGATGAGATCATCCTCACTTCTACACACCTTTTTTATCAGCTTATATGGTAACACATTGACTGCAACTCCTGGCAGGGTGAGTTTGTCTCTCAAACTATGAACTGGATCGGAGCTAAAGTAGAAGTTGGTGTATGCAGGAAATTGGAGTCTGCTACTCTTTTGTTGAATATGAAGACATTGTTGGCGCTCACAATGCATTCAAGGTTTGATTTTTTTTGTAATAAGTTGTTGAGTTTTTTGCTTTCGTTTCAAAATGTTCATTGGATTCGGGCAAATTTCTTGTTATTTGTTGAAAGTCCTGTCGTTTCTCATATGTAGTTATGCCTATTGCGAATTCTTAAGGCATATTGCATTTATCTTTGGGTATTCAATTGTTAGAGAGTTCCCATACGTACACTTGCACTATTGTCAACATTGATGAACTATCTGCCTTTGTATTTGCTTTATTATAATTTTTTTGGGGTTGTGCTTGTAATTTGTACCTCTATACTTAAATATGTGTGGGGTTTGGTGTTGCGGCGTTTCTAAGGTCATTTGGTTGAAGATGAATGCTTGAATATGTCAATGCTAAGTGTTATTTGGATATTTTGTTGGCTATGGTCAGTTATTAGACAATCTCTATGGGATTCGATATCGAGAATTAAAGATCATTCCATTCTTTTTCTGTTAATGTGGATTGATGGCCTGTTGTTTCTTCAATCTTCTTTCTTCTAAGATGTCATTCAGATGTCAAGGTTTTTAATGGAATCAATTCATTTCTATTCATGAGCTTAATAAGTCTATTGGCATAGCCAGAATTTAGAGTGTTATATACCAAATTGTTAAGCATCTGTTTTCTTAGAAGTAATCGTTTGATCAACTTACTTTTCCTTATGTGTTTAGGTGAATTATTCAACCAAGAGGAAGGGGCAGTGGCAATGACGGTTATCAAATTACGAATCATTTTCATACAATTCAAGGAAAAGTGAAGTCTTTTAAGCGACAATTTGTTTGTAAATGGAGACGTATTTCATACTTGATAGATAGTTTCATATTTCTTAGGATGGGAGCATTTTTGCTCACCACCATTTAGTGTGTTGTATGCTCACCACCATATTTATCACTGTTTGATGAGTTTGAATTTCGAGATTCGTGTAGTGGATAAGCATAAATCTCAAAATTCAAACTCATCTAATGGTGGTAAATAGGATGGTTAGCATACACCACATAAATGGTGGTGAGCAAAAATGCACTCTTCTTAGGATAGCTCATTGATTTTAAATGTGATTTTTTATGTAATTATTATATTGTAGTAAATGTGCAATCTTTTATATAAATATTACATTTATTAAATAAAAATAAATATCTTTTTATTTTATTAAGTTTTGGAAATTCTTTTATAACGGCCATTGGTCGTGGACATTTTGTAATCCACAACAGCCATAGTGCACGTGGTGTTAGATCCCAGTTTACTATGGGCATAATTCGTGGTTGTATCACATTTGACAACGGGCATAGCTCGTGGAAGAAACTGAGATTTTTTATCACATTCAGATTACTAATGAGCACAATGCCCATGGTGGATTGCAATCTACCACGGGCATTGACTGTGATAGATGAGCTTTTTTCTTCTAATTTGGGTAGTGGGAAAAGAGGTATTGTAGCAAACAACAGACATAGCTCGTGGTAGAAACTAAGTCTTTTTATCGCATCCAGATTACTAACGAGCACAATGCCCATGGTGGATTGCAATCTGCCACGGGCATTGATCGTGATAGATGAGCTTTTCTCTTCTAATTTGGGTAGTGGGAAAAGAGGTATTGTAGCAAATAGTAGTGGCGGTTTGATGGAAGTTCATCGGGAAAGGTTGGTCACCCGAAACCCTAAAACTTACTTAAGCCTACGATGTAATTAAGCCTTTACACAACAAAACTTTTTCAAGTTCGTCGAGCAAAATTTCACTAACTTCCTAGCATTTTTTTCCCTTGGCGCCAAATGTTTGCTCGATGCATAAGTCTTCGTCATACAAAGCCTCTGAAAAAACAAAAACATTGACCATGTTTGCCTAACCAAGGTAAGTGTGTGTGTGTGTGTGTTTTTTTTTTTTTTTTTTTAAACAAATATTATTTTTAATAATTTTACTTATTTAGTGTATTTTTTAAACTAATACTTGTATTTTTTTTCGTCTATTTTCGAACAATTTTGAGATCGAACTGAAAAAGCCAGGTATGTCCGACTACATAACCTTGTTGTGGACTCAATGATTTACATAGTGGATGCACGTGTTCTACAGGTACTACAAGACTTTTGAAGCTCATGATGAAGCTCTAACCCATCCACCCCAGAATTTTGAGCATAGGATGGACAAGTGACATTGGCTCTGCAGTTAATTTTAGAATTTATAATTTCTAGAGATGGACGTCTTACAGAGTGAAGCAGTTGGATATTTACTTAGAGACAATGTGCGACTAACAATAAATTTCTTTTTGAATTTTAATATAAGTGTACAAAAATTTTAGTTTTAATAATTAAATATATTTTTTATATTGTTGTAACATCCCACATCACCCAAGGGAGTGATCCTTAAATGTATATTCTCATCCCTACCTAGCACGAGGCCTTTTGGGAGCTCACTGGCTTCAGGTTCCGTAGGAACTCTGAAGTTAAGAGAGAAGGGGGTTAGAGCAATCCCATAATGGGTCACCCACTGGGAAGTTGCTCGTGAGTTCCCAAAAACAAAACCGTGAGGGAATGGTAAGCCCAAAGCGGACAATATCATACTACGGTGGTGAAGCGGGCCCGAGAAGTGATCCGCCCCAGGGCGGGATGTGACAATTGTGATTTGAGATTATTATAATAAAATTTAATTAATTTAAGCTAAATATAATTAATATTATTTTTAAAAGCTTACACAGTTTTGCCCAATGAAAGAAGTCCTGCACCAAGTATTTTATATATTTTTAAATTTGTTTCCTTAATAAAGCTTAGCTGACAAAAAATACGAGAAAGGATTCTTGCCGGATCCTCTTTGTAAGGATTCTGGGGATTCTCAAATCACATCCGTTCATCGTACATCGTGTAGTCATAAATCATTGTAAATTTTTTATTTAAAATTGAATATAAACAGTGTCCAACAAAAATTGACCGCACAATGCATGATAAACGAATGTGATTGAAGAATCTCCAGGATCCTCACAAAGAGGATCCGGCGAGGATCATCTCTCAAAAAATACAATCTTAAATATATTTTATTATTTTTTTGTAGAAATACAATTTTAGCTGATGAAATTATCTAGTCAAGTATCTCAGATTCATTGAGCAAAGTTAGTCAATGTACTTTTACTTGACGAAAGTTTCATTAAAATATTGGTCGGGAAATGTTATTTGTCCGAAAGTTTATTTTTTTAATCGAACAAAACTTCGTGCAACAAGCTTTGCATGAAGAACTTTACCCGACAAAGTTTTGTTAGGCATACCCTTGAGCGAAGAAACCTTATTTTGCCCGACCAAATTATTTCGTTACGAAGGGGTTTTTTTTTTTTTTTTTGGGGGGGGGGGGGGGGGGGGGTTAAGTGTTAGTACAAATTTCCTTAACTTTTCGTTTTGAAGAGGATTGTGTGACGACGACTACGGCAATGCAGGTGATGGTGATGATGGGCGGTGGCATTAGCGTTGTTGGTGGTGGGGAAATGGTGGAAGCCATGCTGGAAGGTGGTGCAGACAATTAATGGTGGCAAAATTAACATTAATGTCATGGTGGGGGTGGGGTGCGGGTAATGGTTGTGGCAGCAGCGATGTGGTAGAAGGGGTGGTACTAGTAGTGGTTACGTGGTGAGGGAGGCAGCGGCGGTGGCGACAAGGACAACCACTATAAAAACATATGGATAATGCGTACAATAAATTATTTGTGCCCTTTGAGGCCAAAGGTCACCAACATATGTGCCCATAGACCAATAGCAACAGTGCAGCAACTAATATATTATGTGTGCCATCTAAGAGCGTTGCCTTTGACCATTGGGAACCATATGGTCTTTTGTGGTCAAAGAGGTAAGCACAAATAAGAGTCTTTTTGTGCCTCTCTGCTGACACCCGTGTCAGATGCCTTACCCAAGTCATGTTGGCACAATTTTGTTATTGTGCCTAATAGGTTAAATATACATATATAAAAAAATCAAATACACAAAATAAAATCAAATAGTAATACCATCCATAAGAAATTATTAATACAAATAATGAAAACACATTTTTTCTCCCATGAAAAACTCAACTAAACCTAAGAATCTAACAATGTAACAAATACCATTACTCTTTGAGTTCCTCGCAAGCCAAACAACCCTCAACCACCGCAAACAACCTTCAGCCCCTGGCTCCAGCCTTTGAAATGAACATGAGTAAGAAATGTATCAAGCAGTAAAATCAGTGATGCTGATGCACTGCTACTTTGTTATACCAAATTACAGCAGACAAAATATGCAACTAAAATGTGCAGCTAATCTATCATCACTAGCAAACAAGATGTACAAAACATTAATTTCTAAGAAAGATAGCATCTGCTAAAAACCTTGTAGGTTCTGCAAAGCACAAGCTAATAAATAAGTATATTGAAATCCAACCTTGCTTATAATCAAGTAGGTTCTAGCTTTAGTGCTGTCTTTCATGCTTCTACTTGGCAGGGGAACCACACAACATTCAACAATATAACACACAAGATCATCGTAAGTTATCATTTATTAGTTTATAAGTTGGAAGAGAAGTGAAAGACTCTACAACAAACAGTTTATAACCTCAGAATAGCAATGCAAAATTTAAAAACTAGGATTTCATTCAACTTATAGCTGTTTCTTTTCAAACACTATGTAGCAAGTGTCGACACAAACGCCAACCAAAACCAGAAAAAGAAAATGAAATTCTGGAGGGCCAGAGCTCATAGAGGAACTCGTAGCTTGACTACTGCTATCACTGCCAGAGCCTGGCTCAACAACTGACTTCTCATAGAGGAACTCGTAGCTTGACTACTGCTATCACTGCCAGAGCCTGGCTCAACAACTGACTTCTCCTGAATCAAAATAGTTGATGAACATAACACCAATCACATAGTAAATTAAACTCCAAAACATTTCGAACAAGAAATTGAGCCAACAACGGTTCAGATACGCAATGATTAAGGAAACCAAAGACATGCAACATAATTTAAGGAAGTTTTAACTAAAAAGAACCAGAAGCTTATCAAATTACTAATAGTGGAAATGCTGCATAATTTACCAGATTATCAAATTTAGAGTCCCATACAGCAAAAATCAAGATAATAAATTACTTTAATTGCCCCAATCCTAATATTTCATATAAATGTGGAAATCATGGAAATTCTATAATCCTAAAATTCCAATGTTCTCCATCAGAATAACTTTGAGCTTCGCACAGCTGAAACACAGCAAGGATAAATTGGGAAACATGCAAGTTATTCAGCTGTGTTATCAAATTAGAATCCTTCATAATGTGTTGTTGGAAGGCTTTTAGGTTTACCCCAGACCCATCTGGAGGCCACATGCTGGCCACTACAGTGCCACGCCCAGCCAACGCGCCGTGAGTACAGCTTGCATTCGCCTTTTCCGACAAGGCCAAGAGTGGCAGATTTCTGGGGAAACCTTCCAGAGCTCGATTGGAGCTCATTTGTCCGAGTCGATTTGTGCTAAACCTTCACCAAAATATGCATGGAGTACATGAGTACGATCCTAAACAACGAATGGAGACAATACATGAATAAAAGCCTAAACAACGATTCGAAACCATTTAAGGTGTTTTCGAAGCTAACCTTTGTTAGCTGGAATCGACGATATTTATCGTCGGGCAGTCGAGCCGCGATGGTGCTTGTAGGTTCGTTGGCTTCCCGTTCGATTTTCTGGGAACTAAAGGTAAGGTTAAGCTCTGCATGTTGAGGTAAGTTTTCTTGATTTTTCTCTAGACTTGATAAGAGCGGCGAGAGAGTGAGTTGCAGAGGCGAGGGATAGAGATGAAAGACAGGGAGAGTTGCGTGTGGGGAGTCGGGAGTGGGGATGACAGAAAGAGAGCGAGGGGAAAATGAGGGGGCTTGCACGGGGAAGAGGGACTCACACATGGATGGGTCCCACGGCACACCACTCAAACAGAAACAATATTAAAATAATTCTAATGGCAGACAGATATTTCAAACTAGCTATGAATTATGCGGTATGAACCAAAAACAGCAATCCGACGGAAACAAAATTATAAACCCAAAAAAAAAATAAAAATAAAAAATAAATGCTGGGAGTATGTATATCATGATCAATTAGAACGAAAATATTCTTATATTATTACTAGTTTATTTTGAGATTAAAAAGCAATCTGTAAGGAGATTAGAATCTGAAAAGCAACTGAAAAAGATAAGAACCTAACAAGCATTCATTGCAGATGGAAATGATTCATCGTAAATCTAAAATGTGTCACTTAGTACTACGGTTTAATGGTGTTCCTCTTCATTTGTAAGTGAGAGGTCTTAAGTTCGATTCTTGTCAAATGCAAATTTGAACCATATTATTGTTAGCCTATTTTGAAACTAAAACATTGAACATTAATAAATAGCTCTATACCATTATTTAACACAATTTTATAAATTTAATTTATAATCTAATTTTTTATGTGTGCTGGATGTAAAGACAAACGAAAAAAACACATACTGTGATGCTAACAAACAAATTTTATAGACACAAAAAGTTTTTGATGTCTAGCTTCAGTAAAAAAAAAATTGTCAGTTGAACCCACTTGGCATGGTTCCCGTGCCCATTACTATTTTGTGTCATCTTTTTTTTTTAACATTGGGCATCATCTATGGTGCCATCTATGGAATGGGAACTGTTTGGGTCTTTTGGTAGTCCAATAGACACAAAATTCTCAATTGTGTCCTTAGTTTACCCAAAGCCCATTTTTCGTGTAGTGAACAATCGTTGTGGTCGTGGTCGTGGTAGTGATAATGGCAACGGCGATGATTGTAATTAAATACATGCTTTTGCTAGTGAAACTAGAATTGATCTAACTATTTAAAGTTGGAATTGTTACCTCTAAATAGGCCTGGCAAAAGGATTGTGTCTGTCGTATTTGTGTCGTTTTCATGTAACACCTATTATCTTAACGAGTCGTGTCGTGTCACACTCGTTATCTCAATGGGTCTTTAACATGTCGGGTTACTTTACCCAACGAGTAAAATGATCCGACCCGTTATGACCCGTTAAGAAAAGTTTTTTTTTTTCCTTAAATTTGCACATACCACACATTGCCACATAAATATTACTTCAAAACATTAAAACACATTTTTCGTTTAAGTACACATTTATCGTTTAAGTACCACATCTACACTAAAAAATAAGAGCCTAATAGAAAAAATATCCATACACTACTAGTCTACTACAAAATATTAGGGTAAATTAAACAAAACTACCTCAACTATAGGTCGAATGACACTATCATACCTCATCTTTTAAAAATGACAATGTAATACCTCATCTTATGAATTTGATCCAATGTCAGACATTAGTCAATTTTTCTATTAATTTCTCTGTTAAGTGCTGACGTGGCTAGAGACGAAGCCCACTCACTAATCCAACTGGATTAAAAAATAATTAAATATATTTTTAATAATTAAATATTAAAAAATTAAAAATAAAATTATTGTTTATATAAAATTGTGGGATCCACCCTCTCTCTCTCCTCTATCTCGCCTCTCTCTCTTCTCTCTTTGGGCACCTGCATCCCCAAAACCCAGAAACCCTTCCCACCCGTCCCCCCCAACCTTCCTCCACCACCCTCTCTCTATTTTCTCTCTCTTTCACCTCTCTCCCTTTTCTCTCTCTCTCTCTCTAGGCAACCTGTATCCCCAAAATCCCAAAACCCAGAATCCCATTACAAATCTCAAAATCCAAAATCCCATTAAACCTCCCAAATCTCACAAAGCCCCAATTGGTATCCCTTTCCGCGTCCCTCTCCGCCATTGTTGCCGCCTTATTGGCCTTGCCGCCATCGTCCTTAGTGGAGGAGTTCGAGAAGACAACCTTGTTCGACTTCAACCTCACCCTTCCTATCCAGATGGTGTAGGGATTAGAGAGAGAGAAAGGAAGTGTCTCTGATTTGGGGCTAAGGATTAGAGAGAGAGAAGGAGTGGCTCTGATTTGGGGGTAGGCTTAAGTGAGGAGAAGGGGGTGGGCTCTCTTGATCTAATTTTAAGTGATTGAAAATTGGGTTAGTCATTTTTCATGGTTCGAATTGAAATGCAGCTAAATCTATCTCCCTTCGGTAGCGTTTTGGTGAATCCTTTTATGTTCAATAGCGATTTGAGCGAGGGCACCGAGAGATCTGGAGTTTCATTCTTGATCCTCTTTTTGATGTTCCAAGGTGGTGCGATGGATTTGTCAAAGGTCGGCAAGAAGATTCTGAGCTCTATTAGGTGTGCCAGGTCGCTCGACCTTCTTCCTTCTGCTTCTGATCACCTGAGGTGATTGAAATTTCAGTTTTTGCACATAATGCAGTTTGTAAGCCCTCAAATTTGATGCATTTGGTGTTTAGTTTGAGATTTGTAATGGGATTTTGGGTTTTGGGATTTTGGGGATGCAGGTTGCCCAATGAGAGGCGAGAAAAAGAGAGAGATGAGAGAGAGAGGGTGGTAGAGGAAGGTTGAGGAGGGGACGAGTGGGATGGGTTTCTAGGTTTCTGGGTTTTGGGGATGCAGGTGCCTAGAGAGAGAAGAGAGAGAGATGAGAGACATAAAGGGTGAATCCCACAATTTTATATAAAAAAATAATTTTATTTTTAATTTTTAAATATTTAATTATTAAAAATATATTTAATTATTTTTAGGTCCAGGTGGATTAGTGAGTGAGCCTCATCTCTAGCCACGTCAGCACTTAACAAAGAAATTAACTGAAAAACTGACGGAGGTCTGACATTGGAACAAATTCATAAGATGAGGTATGACATTGTCATTTTTAAAAGATAAGGTATGATAGTGTCGTTCAGCCCATAGTTGAGGTAGTTTTGTGTAATTTACCCAAAATATTAAATGTGCAAGGATATGCAAAACGAAACAGTTTTTGTTTTCAAGGTTGTGATGCCTTTCTCAAAAGTTTAAACCTTGCCAATGGAACTCAAAGCTTGCATGTTATTCCTTTTACAAAATCCTCAATTTTCATCGATCATCATGAGGAAATTGTATTGGAACTTTGGCTTGATTTATTGCCTTCAAGAGTTATGTTGATGATGTTTTCAGTAAGGTTTTCCACGTCAGAACTCTCTTCTGCATAAACTAATTATAGAAAAACCAAACATTAAAAACCATTCAAATTATGAGAAGTTTACCAAAATAATTATGAAAAGAAATAAAACAATAGTACTATACCATATAAAAATATATTACCTCCTTTTTCCAAATAGCCAATCTTGTGTGCACAACAAAGCTTGAACTGTTTATAGTAAATTAATATCAGGATATATATATATATATATATATATATATATATATGTGCAAACAAAGCCCTAATTCCATCATATTAAAAAACAAAAAAACTAAAAGGAAGATTATGCTTGATGATGGCCTCTACCAATAAGCCATGGAATACCACATGATCAAAGTTTTGGGAACAGAATTCAGACTTCAACAATAATCCACCAGTCAGTCCAAGGCATGTTTTCACATATTTATTCATATTACCCGTCCCATGATGACAATCATATAATATCAGTTTCTTACAATCTTTACATTGAGCACAACTTTTACCATCTTTAAAAATAGTAGTCAATTTGTTGAGTTTTCCAAACAGGAGACCTGAGTGTTCGATTACCTAATTTGTTCACTCTAGCCTTTTTCTTTAACGGACTTGTATTTGTATGTTTTGTATTTTCACTTCCATGATCATGTTGTATTCCCATTGTAACTTCCACTAACCCTCCATCACTAAGGATCGTAAAATCTTGCTTTACAACATCCATTGCTTCAAGAAAGAAAAACAAAGCTGTAAAATCTTGCTCATACCAATTTCATACCATGTCCATTTCAAATTCACATATCCATTTCAATTTCAATTTCACATATCCATATCCATTCAAATTCACATATCCATTTCAATTTGAATTTGAATTTCACAAATCCATTTCAATTTCACATATCCAATTCAATTTCACCTATCCATATCCATTTCAAATTCACATATCCAATTCAATTTCAAAATCCAATTCATATATCCACAAATCACAATCCAATTCAAATTTATTTTCAAATTCACAATTCAATTAAAAATACCTTGCACTTGCAGGTTGGAATCTTGCTGAATTGCTTTGCTTATTCCAAATCTCCAAATCTGGAAAACAAATATAGACCCTATCACGCCCTGCCCCGATTTATTCGCTTTATTTCGGGAAATAATAATATTAGTGAAAGGCCCAAACTAAACTCCTGTTTAGTTTGCTACTATTTCTTTTATCTTACTTCTAAATCTCCAACTGATTTAATTCCTATAAGATTAACCATGTTTTTAATTACCATAACTATCAATTAAGTTATCAACTTAATTCCCCAAATTCTTCTATGAAGCAACCTCTAATTCAAAGATTAATTCTCGAATATTTAATCTTACTAGTATTATGGCTGCATCTAATGTCTCGTTAGATTACCTACGTACCCTAAATAGGGATCAAGCCATTTGTAGTTCACAAATTCCAATTCAATTAAACTTTGATATTTCTACACATAACTAACAATCACCCTCTAGCTTCAAACAAGTGTATTACATTAAATGCTTAATAAATTTAATTCCAAAACAACAAAATTAGTGTAAAAATACGGCGTCGGCTCCCTAGCCACGCACCACTGTCGATGGTGGTCGGCCATACTGATTCGCCAAAAAATATCAACTATCTCAAAAAATTACCAAATTTTACAAGAAAGTAAATCTCAATGAGAGGAACAACTTTCATACTTGCGGCCAAACCCAATTTGGCCGGGAACCACCTCAAATCGGCCACGAACCTCCGGAAACCCTTGAATTTAGGTGTGTTCAATTCGACCTCAAAGTAACTCCAACACCCCTAAACTTGTTTGGGCTTTGTTTCACACCTCAAAGGGAGTCTAATGGTGATAGTAATTTGATGGAATTGTTCCAGAGCTGGGGAATCGAATACACGGACCCATTGCACCCACTGGTGCGGGTTACAGTAAATCAAAGCCAATTCCCCAATATTTTAAGTTGAAATTGGAAGAAGGAGAGTCACTGAG